TCTCCAGCTGTGATTAAGGATTTTAGGCTATACTTAAACTATATTTATTCCTGTCAAAACACGGATATTCTAAGATAAGCAGGCCTGCACAATTCATGTGCAAGAGTTTTAAAAAAGATGGCCAGAAGAGATCTGGACCAGTACTGATGATTTTTGATCAGTCTCAGAAAACTGGGAAAGCATCCAAGGGTCAAAGAAATTCTGATGTCGTGCCAGTACTTTAGAAACACAGTGATCTCAATAGGCTGACTGGGCTGATGCTGATCACAGTGCAGTAATGAAATCGCCAATATGCAGTTTTGATAGATTACGGATTAAAGTTGGATAATAAAATTAACCATAATCAACACAGGTTTAAGGAAAAATAGACATCATCAAACTAATGTGCTATAATTTCTTATGAGATTACAACTCTGGTTCACACAAGTAATTATGTTGATATGGCTGGAATGATATGAAATCATCATGACATATATTAGCTGGAGAAAAACTGGCAATGTAATAAACCTCACATACAACAGTAAATGAGTAGTCATTCATGAGCAGATGTACTTCTGTAATGCACAGTTCTTGCTACTCTGTTTTCTACTTATCAAAACACGGCAGAAAAGTAAAGAAAAACAAAAATCACCAATGGATTTTGCAGTTGAAGCATATATTTGAGAGAACAGAAAAGAAATGGACAAGTCAGCAATATAGAACAGCATGAACTGCTTTGGAAATGCAAATAATCTGTATGCCAATGTGAACAAATGAAACAGCATACATCTGGGAACAAAGTTTACCGTTTCTACTAATAGGAAGGGATTTTCTCTCTTCTGACGAGGAGACAAGGGAAAAAAATAAATAAAACAACCAACCAAGGTTGAAGCCAATGAACAAAGCATCCTAATGGACTCATAGGATGATGCTGTGATTGATTAGATGGGCTACTGCAATGCTTGGCTGTAGGAACTGGGAAACCTCAGACTGGAATGCCAAGAAAGTATTATCCCTGAAGGCACTGAAACAGCTACACAAGAGTGCTTGGTCTGTTCTGATGTCCACTGCTTTTAAAAAGGCTTTAAAAGACACTGCAAGTATATCACAAAATGCCAAAATATACAAATCATTCTATTCTTTTCATCAAAGTCAAGGTCAGGATGGGATTTGACCACAGCTTACGAGATCTATATGACAAGCAACAGTGGAGTAATAGAGAGAGGCAAAGACAGGCCATTCACTGATAGACAGACCGGTCTCTCCTCAGCCACTGGACTCCAAGCAGCAAATAGTTAAGGAAAGTTTTTGGACCTATTTTGGGTACACACTTGTAATTACAATTATCACCCCCAGCCACAGAGTGAAACCCTGTCCCCCTTAACTTACCTACCTATTTACACAAGTAAATTGCATACCAGAAAGTGTCATAGGGGTGCCACAGAAGAGGACAAAAACAAGCATATTTCCCACTATAAATCATTAATTACAATGCATGGCTTAAGAGAAGCAGAACAACCACTTCACCAGTGGAACTGATGGCCCCAAGGCCAGGCAGATTGCATGAATTCACTGTCTGCACAGGGACCTTCTGGACAGAGTCATGTAAAGGGGCATCTTCCTTCCCAGATGGACAGTGGCATCATCTCCAACCACATATGAACGCAACTGCCCCACAGAGAAGAGCAAGCAGGAGAAATGGCTCACTCTTTGTTTGCCAGAGAACTGCCTGGCTTAAAAAGTTGATGAGTGCTAGCCCAGAAGTAAGTGACTTTGCCTGAATTCATGCACATATAGACACTGACTGACATTTCCAATATGATTAGTGTTTGCATTATCTCAACTTTCAAAACATAGTAGGCTCTCAACTTTAGGAAGCTGCCCTCTGAATCAAGCTCTCCAAATGCACCCATCACTTTGGGAAACATGACGACAGGCAAGACCTAACCACAAACAAAGGGACTCCCACCAGGACAGCTGGTGAGAAGCATAGACTGCTTGAAGTGTCTGGGAACCTGCAATCTCCTGTCACCAGTGAGCAGTTGGGACCTGGAGCATCAGCAACCTGAATCTGCAGCCCTGGTTGTCTGTGCACACAAGGGCATCAGTATTCTTCAACCCAAATTACCTCAGTTGGTTTTAGGAGCTCCAAGGGGAACAATGAAGGAGAGCATTGAGTTAGGACTGTTGTTTGGGGGTTTTTTTCTACTCATTTCTGAAAAAACGTGGTTGGGGGAGGGAGTGTGCGAGAGGGGAGAAAGTTCTGGTGATGTCAGCTCCTATTGCCATGGAAACTGAATATTTTTAGTGACAATGGAGTCTTCCTCCTTGAGCTGATGGGTTGCGTGGGGAGCAGGGGCAAGCAGGGCAGGGACACACGAGGGAATTCAGCTAACTAAAACTATAGCTTCTGGCTTTCCAAGGAAGTGAGGAGAATGAATGCCTGAATGCATGGTTTATGTAACCAAAACACCGTCTGGGGGCAATAGCAACAAATAGTCATTATGCTCTTTGATAAAACATGCCGTCATGCAGCAGATGGAGGTATCTCAGCTGCCCAGGAACAGCCAACAGAACAGTCTTTTGGCTTCACTTTGTTTTTCCACTCTACAGCTTATTCTTCCAACCTTTGCTGCCTCATTGGTGTTTATCTGGAAAGGGAGAAGTGAAGAGAAAGGTCTGGGAAGTACAGTCCTTGCTCCTGAAACTGAGAGAAGCTGTACATCTTCTAGGCAATGCATTACTTCTCAGCACCATGAATGTTTTCTTGAGAGCCAAATTTATGACCTGGCAATGAGAGTCCAGGACCATGAAGAGAAGGCCATTAGAGAAAACTGATTAGCCTCTGATCAGGATCTAACTCACTGCCATGAAGAAAACATGCAAGACATACTGCAGGATGTCTTCTCTTATTCAGAAGGCTAAGACAGCATCTGGACCCAAAGAAAGCTGAAGCCGTGATCCAGGTGTGGGACCAATCAGGATAAACCTTGGACCTTAAATCTGAGGCTAAATAAAAGCCTATAGTCTGTATGTAAGGGCAAATTTGAGCCTTGGATTTGATTTAAACAGTGCAGACAATTCTAATGAATTTCAAAGAATAATGAATTAATAACCACAAGCTTTTATAACTTGAGATACATTATATAGTCATTAGTTCTATACAGCTAAATGGGAAAACCTTTCTTTAGCAGAAGTCTTTTGAGATCAGATATTCTAATGAGATTACTATCATTTCAGTCTGACACCTCATGAAGACAACTGTATAGAAATCAGGAAACAAATTTCTTTCAGTCTTGGACCTGAAATGAAAAATCCTCCACACTGATTAGTTTATATCTAAGGAGTTGATTCTAATTCTCCTTGGCATTGAAAGGAGTTCAGATATGAGCTTTTCTCCTAGCACTGATATCAGATGCACAAAAGACACTCTCTTCTCAAATTTCTGCTAGCAACAGCAAGAGAGGGAAACAAGTAAATGGGGTTTACTCCCTCCTCATCTAGGTAGCATGGATTTTACTTGTTTTCTGCATGGAGTAAGCACTTGAGCCCACCCTCTTTCATTTAGCATTGCTCCACTGATTTCTTCACCTCTCCAGACAGCATCGCTCACATACCAGGCTTGTAGGGACACTGGACAGAGTTAAAACCCAAGTTCCCAAGACTTTTATCCCATACACCAGCACTCCTGTGCCAATAGCACCTTCCTCCCAGCATACTGCAGCACATCCTCCATATAGTGGAACACCATGGGCTCCAAGAGCCCCCTTTCAAACACACTTGTTCTTCTCTTTCCTCTTCAAAGGCTGCTTTGGTAGGATCTTGTTTTCCCTGCACCATGTCACCAGCAAATGTGCCACCAGGAGCTCAGGCTAGAGTACAATGATCTGATTTTCCTTGCTACCGCGTGTCAAGTGCTTTAACTCACAGTCTCCACACCAGACCATTTTGTATCAAATGCTAATCACAGCAGGCTTAGCCATGAAAAAGGTCTTCCCATCTCACACATGTTGTGTTAATGCAGGAAAAGCAACAGCTTTCATCTGCCTGTCCTCCTTTCATGCACAAGCTGGCTAAGAATCGGCCTCGAAAATTTACAACTGAGCTGAGTTTGAAAATCTCTGTGCCTCCCAGAAGCAAACAATTACATACCCCTCCAAAGGGAATGGCTTTCAAGTCTTGCTGTAGAAGAACTGTATCAAAAGCAAATATAAAGACAGTGCTGCTCCACACTGCAGGGGAAAGCCCTGCAAAGTGAGCTTGAACTCATTGCTGGCTCAGTCAGTAATACATGCACTTCCATGACAGCAAGTGTAGGTAATTCCTTGTCGAGAGGAAGAGGAAATTGGGGGGTTCTCACTGAAAAGTTGTTCACTTCTTTACCTGTTTGCTGTGAGAACAACAACACTGTATATTTATTTCTGGGTTTTTTCTTCTTTTTTTTTTTTCACTATACCACAAAGCAATCTAATGTCCATTTTTATGGACAAATTCAGAAAAAGTGCCCACCACTATCAGTGATGGACATTTTGATGTAATTCAATAGGCAAACCCTGGTAGGCTTTCCACTTCCTACATGCAGAGGGGAAATCAGAGCTTCGCCATAGCAACTTTGTTGTAAAAAACACTCAAATGTCAACTTGTCCCAATAGTACAGTGGATAAGGCCAGTGAGAGACAAAAAGCCCAGAGTAACAAAAATGACATTCCTACTTTTGAAACACTGCTGCTGGAAACAGAGAAGCGAGATTTGTTCTGGTAAAGGTTAAAGCTCTTCCACCCAGACATTTTAAAAGCACTTTCAGCTGGTACAAGTAACACCCTCTACAGAAGTTGTGTGAGATGGCTGCACATCAGCTGGGGAGCTAAGCTACCTTGTCTACTGTTTCTTCCATAGACTGCTATGCCCCACAGATGTGCTGAAGCAGCAGCAACGTGGCGACTTCTCCCTCAGTACCATTTCTTTTCCGTGCAAGAATCCAGCAAACACAGAACAAATAAACCCAGAAACTATCAACCTACCCAGCCATGACGATGAAGAAATCCAGGCGGTTCCAGGTATCTCCAAGGTAACACTTCTTGCCAAAGATCCCCAGGGCCACCATCTTTAAGACCATTTCCATGGCAAAGAAAATGAAGATGAAATCATCAAACACCTGCCAAACAGAAGCCCAAGAGCACATTTGATAAGCATTCTCAGCCTTAGACTAAAATGCACCATATGAGATAAATACAAATTTCATTGCTTCTGAAAATTAGTTAGAGCAGAGCTGGAAACACTTCCTATATGTAGTCCTGGTATCGCAGCTTACTGCTGCTCAAGCAAGCAAGGGCTTTTTATAGTTTAGGGGTTTTTTTCCCCATGGGTAAAGCAATTGATGTAGGCTCAGAAACTCCTTACATGAACTTGAAAGGATGCATTGGCTCAGAACCAGCAGATCCAAACCCAGCCAGGGAAACACCATCCTTCCAAGGGCTCCCAGGAGGGATTCCTTATCACCCCACTGCAAATGCCTCAGCTGAGGACATAGTGCAGCTTCACGCACAGCTTAGACATCACATAACAATCACGGAGGCTTCAGATATCTGAACATCGCAGCCTCAGCAACGCTATCGCTGACAGCCTTTGCTGTCACCTTCTCTCTGAGATAGCAGTAACCACAGCTAGTGCATTCATAGGTTGGATGTACCCATGGCCCTTTTTAGTATACCTTTTGTTTCTTCTCCCTTTAGGCATTCTAAATGTCACATTACCTGTAGACTCAGCGATACCCTTGCTACTCAACAGAGTAGTGAATGCATTAGGAGCTGCTACTGTCTCCTGCCTGGATACCATAACCTTAATTATTTATCCCTGGCTTACCTCTGAGCTATGTATCTTACAGCTGTCTACATCAAAAAACCCCTGCTTATGCGTAGGATCAGGAAGCCAGCACCTCTTCTGTATTGCATGGTCGCAAGTAGACTTCATTCATTAGCATTTCCCTCCTCAAAGCAAGCTTTTACTATTTTACAACAGGATAGCTTACTGCCAGGGACATTCTTGCCAGCCTGTCTGGGAAAGTGTTGCTCACACAACAAAGGAAAACATGTGAAATTTTGTGACTTGGACTGAAGCATCACCACAAGAAAAAGGAAGTCTGCTTACCTGCAAGATTTTGCACCTGTCAGAAAGGCAGTCCATATCCTCACACGGCTGGTACATCCCCAGGGTAACGCAGTTTAACAAAATCACCATCATGCTGACACATTCAAACCAGGTGGGAAAGAGTCAAGGAAAACTTCCATGAAAGCATCATGGCTGAGATAAGCTTGCGCTAGGCTTGGGGTGACAAAATAGGAAGATTAAGGTAAATAACTTCTGGCAGGCTGACTTTTTACATTCTTATGTTTTCCTCCTCTCAGTTCCTTATTACTCCACTCCTTCATTAAGCCAAAACTCTTTTCAAAAGGAGAAAGCAGAGGTAGCACAAAGGTCTAAGGTATTCATAAAAGCCAAGTCATTGCCATAATTAAACACATGCTCACTCCTCTCCTGTTGGCTTGCCAAGTTCATTCCCTCATTGGTTTAATGAATCTCCCAAATACATAGAAGACACTTTCCATGGTGGCCCATACTCAAATATAGCAGAGTTCTCTAGAATCTAGGGATCTAAACCAAAATGGATAGCCACATCTCTGTGTGAGCCTAGTGATTAGTGCCCTTCTGGGACCCCCTTCCCAATAACACAAAGCTAGAGGTCTCCCTCTTCCCCCTTCTAAGAGGAACTTGGAGATAGAGTTGCCATATTGGAACAGGTTGATGGTCCATCTAATCTGTTATTCTGCTTCCAGCAGTGGCTCATACTGAATGAAACTCCACAATATGCCTAATTAAGTTATTTGGTAACCATAGGGGGAAATTGCATTTCTGACCCCAGCTGGTGATCTATTTATGCCCTAAAGCAGAAGGATTGATAACCCTTATAATTGTTTTCTCAGCTATACTAGTATTCCTGCAGATATTTTGCTTATTCATTTGAATCCTTTGTTGATAATCTTACTAAAATATCTGTTTCATAAATAGTTGGCAGCCCTGAGCTACACTGGCTAATTATACTTTACATTAAAAATTGTTTCCTCCTATTTATTTTTAATTTGTTGCCTTTTAATTTCATCAAGTGCCACGTCATTTATACATTACAGAAAAGAATAAAAATGGTGTATTTTGTGTGACCTTCTCTGTGCTCTCCACACCCTCTACCTGCGTCCTCTTCTCCATCCCTCTCCTCCTGAAGGAGTGTCAAGAACTGATACACACTTATCCAAGAACTCATTTACAATATTTGAGCTCTAAAAGTGGGCATGTATCTGTGATATCTTTCCAGCATTTGCATTGCAAAGCAGTGACGTAGAGCCAGTGCAGCCAAACTTGGGGAATTCAGGCAAAGGGAATGAAACCACAACAGGGACTCTAAGTCAGAAGTTTATTTTATACACATCAACACTTCTGCGTGCATGCTTAGGAAGAAGCAATTTGTCAGTGGTCAGGATGCTCCCATGCTCCCTTTGCTCCTATCGCCTTGCAGCACACTTCCCCTCCACCTAGGCCATACAGATCATGGCAGGGTGCCTTTGAGCAGCTGGCAAGACCCCAAAGCACAAGACCTGGCCAGCCACAGCAAGTGCTCCCAAAAACACTGCAGCTTAGTCCAGACGTGCAAGGCCCTCATCTTCTTGCTCAAAAGGCTGTGGCTGGCTGCACTTGATTTCTCCTCCCCTTCCATTTGGATACCAGCTCTCTGAAAGTTTGCCAGCATTGTCCAGGCTTTCCGAGGATGCTACTGAATTGCTGGCTGCTCCTGGGCTACTGAAGTGACAATAGGAAAATCTGCCACCTCATGGTTTTCTTTTCAGAGCAGTAGGGGCCCTGAAAAGGCACATCAAACCTGCAGCAGAGAGGAAGAAAGAGCAAGGAGAAATCTGGAGCATCTCCTGCCCTGAGTCAGGAGGGGTTGCTGCCTGCCTGGGTCGGTGGAAGGGGTAATTAGAAGTACCTGCTGCCTTCAGCGTGTCACTGCTGTCAACCACAGCAACTGCCTCCTGTCACCACAGCAACAGCCTGCAGCCAGGTTTATCATCTTCCCTCTGGTGATGACTCCCCCTCCCCACATCCTTCACCCCCTCCTTTTCCCTGTGCCTGAGCCTGTAATTAATTGCAGCTGCTGACAAAGCCAGGCCTCACAATCTGCATCATTCAGTCACAAGTTTCATTATTAATTAACTTCTTTCAAAGTTTAAATCTCCTAATTACAAGCAAACCCGTGCACATGCTCTCTCCCCCAACCACAACCCTCCCTCACTGCTGCTCTCCATTCCCATGGCCCCACTATCAGTACCTTTCCCAGTGAGGTCTAGGGACTCTAACAGGTTTTGGAAACTAAAAGGAAACCCAGACATTTCTGCCTGTGGTCAGCTTGCCTCTCCTGGACAAGCAGATACTTCAAGATACAGCAATTCACTATGTAATAACTTGTCCGTCAAAGTAGCTTTTTTCCCCTGGTAGTGACAGCTCACAGTTGATTCAAGCCATTACAGATAAAGTGGACATGGCACTTATTTGAAAAAAACAAAAGAAACAGCAGAGAAAGGTTTCCAGACTCCTTTAACCATCGGCTATCCTCATTATCCACATAATTGTCTCCTTCTTGTAAAAGTCCTGTTAAGCTCTTGGCTTCAGCACTGCCTTGTGGCATCAAGATCTGTATCTAGGTTAATTATATTGTACCTAAACCACATTTCCTTGTACTGGTGCTGCAGCTAGTGCCTGCCTGTGGCAGCAGCACTTTGCTGATGGGTGCCATTCTTGCCCCTCCACACCCCAAGCAGGGCCCAGCCAGCTGCTGGCTGGAGGCAGCCACCATGTACCCACTGACCCTCCATCATGTTTTCCAATGGACACGGCAAGTCTGGAATGGGGAGACTCAAGGGGAATGCGTATCACCAGCACACACTAAGAAAGAGTCATCATCCACCTCAAACCATCTGGGATAGAGTCAGTGCTGAAAGCCACAAGTTACAAGATAGGTAAGGAGATCTACAGGTGTTTCTGGGAGCTGGAATGTGTTGCAGGAGTGCCTAGAATGTGACTCTACATAATGAGAGATGATGTTATGATGGGATACACTCATATAAGGGTGATGGGATACAGGCAAAGCTTTTGGGTTAGATTCCTGAATGACAAATAGCAGAAGCTCCACTTAAGGTTCTTGGGATCAGCCTCAATCTCTGCTTTTTCTCACTGACAACAGAAAAAGCAATATTTTGGGGTCCTCTCTCCTCTTCCTTTTTCATCATCAGCTGAAAAGTAAGACTACATCAGGCCCAAAATGCCTCCCAGTGGGTGTCACTCCTAGATGCACATAAAATATATAAGCTTTTGACAGTCCCTCAGTCTTCCCTATTGCTATCTCCAAACCATTCCTAGGCTAGATCTTGGATACCTCAGACCTGTTTAACCGGCAATAGAAATACCTTGTCTACAAAGCACTTACAGCATGGGGAAAAAGCCAGCCCTCTGGTGTGGCTGGTCATGGCAGCAAAAGAGAGGAACCTGCTATGGTAGAGCCATTCAGTGACTGCACTGGGAAGATGGAGTTCTATGCAGTGCATCTCAAACAACAGCCACTGATGCACACAAGTTTTTGTGAGCTCCCGTCTCTGGTCCAGTGCCCGACAGGCATATCTGAGGGCACCCTGCAGCTGAGGCATCACTTCACATGATCATTCCCCTCTGCTTCACCTTTGCACCTCTCTCCACTCACCTCTCACCCCACCATGCTTCCCACCAGCCAAATGGCTGCACCCTGTGATTCCAGTTTGTGGTGATTGCATTATCTTTCCCAAGGAGGAAAATAAGATAAGGACACTGCTGTGTTCCTTCCTTCCTTTCCTCCTCTGCTTTGTGATCCTCCTGCAAGAAGCCAGTAGGACGCTGTAACCGCAAGAAGGACAGTTAGTATTTTATTCTAATGGAAACAGATATTTGTGTTGTGAAGGTCAGAGAAACAAGTAGCTCCAGGGAAAGAAGTGCTTAGTTTTGTTCCTTCATTGCTGTTGGCTTTTGCAGATGCCCTCACAGGTGAGTTTCATTACCCTCTGCCCCCTCTACACTTTTTTCTTCTCAACTCCATTTTTCTTTTCAACTTCATTTTTCTTCTTCGGTGATACATAGGATTTTCATGGTCTTTTTCTACAAAACCAGCTGAGACAACCAACAGGGTTTCCTTCTCTTCAGCCTCAGTCTGCTAAGCTAACCCACTAGAAAAAGCTGAATGCAACACCCGATGTTCACTCAAAGGAAAATACATCTCAAAATGTGTTTGTGTTCAAATAGATCAAAACAATCAAAACATTTCTCAGAACAAAAAGCTTTAAAAATCCTGTTTTGGAAAGGCTGAAACATTTCTTCTCTGTCTTTTTTAGTACAACGAAGTGTTTCAACATTAGAGAAAAAAGGTTGTGGGTTTTTTTGACTTCACTTAGAACTCTGTTGTTTTGATTGGTTTTTTTTTACTTCTGAATCAATTAGAAATTAAATGCCAATACCCAGCATTGCAGTACTGGGATTTCATGGCAGTCAAGCCACAGAGAATAATTTATAAAGCCTTTCTGAAAGCCCTCAATGTCAACATACTCTAGGTGCTCCCATGCCATGTAACGTCTTGTTTGCTTTCATCACATCATCATTTATACACTGTCCTCACAGAAGAGGAGCTGAACTTCAGACAGGTGACATACACATCGCTAAGGTCTTCAAGTCTTGTTCAATACTGATGCCAAGGGAAGGACTGCAGTACTGCCAAACATGGCAGGACTGTTACTTTGATCTCAGAGACACTAGGGAAGTCTTACATGACTTGTGATGGTCTTACTGGGAGGCAGGACAGGAATTCATGGAGAAAAGGGAGGCAGTAGAGAGACTTTAAATGTTTAGCAGTAATTCATGCTTATGCCCTTTGGAAGGGACTTCACATCAAGAACAGATTCATTAGAAAAGAAGACTCAGTTGTATTCATATTAAATCAGATGGACACCAACACAACAAAGCACCATAGGTCAGTCTCTCTGACCAGTCTAACTTCCCAGGACTGCTCAGCAAGCAATCCTGTACCAGGCCACACAGGCTTTTGGCTGCGTAGCTTAAATTCAGATTTAGCTTTGAGACTAATAAAAACTAAGTCAGTTGCATCTCATACATCACATCATATCCCCCTGCAGCGTTAGGTGAGCATTGAAGATGGCTTCTGGGAAGTTGGTGGGGTTTTTTCATTACAGGAACAA